GAGAGAGAGAGAGAGAGAGAGAGAGAGAGAGAGAGAGAGAGAGCAAGGCCACATCGCCACACTGCTCGCCGGCCTCGCAGAGCTACAACGACCCCAAGCACATCGCCTCGAACAAGTTCACGCTGGTGGAAAAGAGGCGGCAAGGCCGGCGAACGAAAACAACACAGCAAGGAGGCAGGGTCGGGTTAGGGGGTTCGTGGCGATGGCGGACATGAGTGTCACAACCCTGAACGGAGGGAAAGCGTCAACAACATCCAAACCATAGACGACTACACAGAGGAGACGCGTTTCCACATCGTTGTCTCATATGTACATATCGGTAGTACCGGGACAATGGTAACAATGACAAAAAAAAAACAACCAAAAAAAAAAAGGCGCGTGACGACGGAATTTTTGGATCTGTTTTCGTTTTTTTTTGTTTTGCATTTTCAGTGCGGCCCTTCATTTCCCGCCACAGCGCGAAAGTCCGGTACAGATTGTCGACGGCCCAAAAACTGGACCACCCGATTGTTTCGCAGCCGCTCGATGCAACCCCGCCGTCGTCCGCCCTTTACACCGTGGGGGCTTGGTGCAGTTGCCAGGGACTTCGCGAGATCGGTGAGTTCGGGGCGGAGGACCTCCGAAAAACCCTCCCCTAACTCACCGGTACCGGGGATTTTCGGTGGCGGGGGGACCTGTGGTTTAAAAAAAAAACTTACAACAGCAAACACTCAAGCACACACATATACGACATATGGACCAAGATTCAAGGACCACCAACCTCGACACCAACTATGAATCAAGGTATGCCAAATATCTAATACATTAATACCATACAAATTACCTAAATCCCACACATTCCAACACTAACAGACAGATGTGATAAACACAAACACCCTAAGTATCACACAGACACACACACACACACTAATCTTGACACATACACACAAATACTCCCTTTTTTTCATGCAACAATCACCCTACTTCTAAACCTCACCAATAACGCCTCCTTCATCAATCAAGCATATACAAACTACGGGCTGCGCACCCGTGCCCTCACGGTAAGTCAGTAGGCCTGCGCCCGCGCCGTTTCAGATTCTAATTCAAGGACCTGCAATCCGCATGCCATTTCAATTTTTTTTGGACCACGGCCACCTACCGGTCCTTCACATAATGTCGAGGTTCCCAGGAGCATGCCACAGGCAGGTACCGGTCCTGCATTTGCTTGAACTGCCCCCCCTGCCCTAAATGCCTGTGCCTTCCATTTTACCAGCCTTTCAACGACCAATGGGCCCGAATGAACAACGGGTATAACCGAAGACGACGAAATTGCCTCAGTGAGAAAAACGCAACCCTGACGGGGTGCGAACATGCCTCGCACCCAAATTGCAGGAGGCGTGGACGCGACCATCGCAGGCTGGCAAGGCTGGTTAGGCATGGTAGCCACAGCGTTGGGCAAAGCCTTCTAGCCCCCTTGGCGGCTTTTACGATGGTGCGTGGTTAGGCATGTCATGATGCACCACCTGTCGAATAGAACGTTTTGTGGCACTGCACTATCCGAATGAACTGTTCTGCAAAACCGGTTCTTTTTGTATGCTTGGTGGTCTGAAGGGCCGAACTGGGAAGGGCGGTCTATTGGGAAAACATCGACCGAAAACTGAAGGAGGCGTTCCGCTTTCAAATTTGCGTACATGGAGTCCACGCGGTATGTTTGATGTTTGAGGAAAGGAGGCAGGCCGCGCCTTCGCGCTGTAAACGGCTGTGCGACTGTCCACACAAGGCGGCTTCAGGATCACCTCGACGATGATCCAAGTTCATCCAACGGTACTGATTACTTCAACGTTTTAGCGTAACCTCTGCGTCAGCTTCCGAGTCCTGCTGATCGTTCATACGTTTGACCATCTAGCGGACGGTTCCGATCGACGGACCTTATTCAGATTTGCGTCATTTATTAGTTATCGGCGGATCTCGTTCCAACAGTTCGAGTTGGTCCTAGAATCCTAGTCCTAGAAATCGATCTAAAAAACTCAGGCCCTGGGGCAAGGTCCCATTTGCGCGATTTCGGCCGTTGATCTTCGCTATCTACGGTCACTGTTTCTTAATTCGTGCAAGTGGGACCTAGCCCCTGGTCCAGTCCCCGCCGACGGCACAGGGTCCTTTCCGCTCCTTTTTTTTTTTTTGGGGGGGGGGCGCGTTCCTTTTTCTTGTTGCCTTTGCGCAGAGGGATGGGCTGTACAGACATAGGGCCTCGCTGCACTGCTCAACGTTGAACGAATATGTGAACTGCTTCGTAGACCGGATGCATCTGGACTCATCGAACCTTTCGAAGCGTATCGGACCAGTGAAAGACCCAGATACATTTAGCATACTGCCGAGTGGCATGAGGCCCATTATCGAGCTCAATATCCCGCCCATCCGCCCGTGCTCGCTGAATATCCATCCATCCATCCATCCGTCCGTACAGGAAAGAGCGGGCTCGCGTTCCGCGCCGAGCCGCGCCGTCGCCGGCGAGTGGAGCCGCCCGCCGGACCCCATACTGGCTGAAATCTATTCCCCGCCCCCGCCGAGGTCCCCCCTGGCGAGTCGCTTATCAGCAGAGCAGAGAACAGAACAGGGCGGGACAGGAAAAAGATGGTTCCAGTTTTGTCTCTTTCGGCGGCAGCACTTGCCCGGCTGGGACAGGGGTTGGCAGGTCCAACCATGCGTGTCTGGTCCCATGAGTGAGTCGTCCGAATCCGAAGCCTTGAGCATGGCGGTGGCGCCACCGCAACGGCTCCCTCGACACGATGTCCGAGCTGTCGAAAGCAAAATCTCCTCTCCGACTTTCCCTCCACTGATCGCAGCCGGCGCCCTGCCGATCTGAGCAAACAGAGGACTCTCTACCTCTGTGTGTGTGTGTCTCTCTCTCTCTCTCTCTCTCTCTCTCTCTCTCTCTCTCTCTCTCTCTCTCTCTCTCCGTGTCTGTGCTTGTATCTGCCTCTTGACTTTCTCCGTCTCTCGTGATTCACTGCCTTCACCTGTCTACGTGTGTCCCGTGATCTTCGCCGAGCTTTCTCTACGCCATCTTCTCTCTCTCTCTCTCTGTCTCTCTCTCTCTGTGTCTCTCTTTGTCTCTCTTTCTCTCTCTGTCTCTGGTGGTTGCTGACCATCATCTCCATAGCCGTCTAGTTCTTGGGTCTACACAGCCGGCAAAACCTTGTCCTCCCCCTCCATCTCCTCTGTTCTCTGTGTGTTTGTCGCTCTGTCTTTTTCTCTCTGAGTCCATCTGTCGTTGCCGCCGTCCAGAACCCGCCGCGCTGCGCGGCGCGGCGCCGCGCCGCGCCCCAATTTTTGCCTTGCCTACTAAACCCACCAAATTACCAAACTCTGACCCCTCTACCGCGCTTGTGGCGCCAACACATTTTTAATCCGATCTTTCGGTTCGGTCATACGGGGAGTGGGTTGCCTATCTCCTCCCAGCGGAGCGGCGGGAAGAGTAGGGCCCCAACTGTAGATTACCTATGATGATGATGATTGGTTAATGACATATTTGTATTTTGTTCGCCCGAGGCGCCGCCGTGGTTTTGTTTGTTTGGTTGTTTGCTCTGTGTGCTCTCGCCTTCCTCTTGCGGCGGTCTCGCCTTCTTCGCCTTCGCACGTGCCGGCGGCGTGATTAGATTAGATTAGATTAGATTGGATTTGATTGGCTTCAATCCAACCGGCTAATTTGTGCCATCTATTTTGCTTGTTCGTGATCCTCCCCCTCCACCAGCCAGGCAAGACACCAACACAATGCATCATCAGCTCGACTCTGTGTGTGTATGTGTTTGAGCCGCGTAGATGTGCAGGAGGTAGGCAGTGTGTGTGTCTATTGGCGGTGCGGCGTAAAGGCCTGCCCGCCTGCCTGCGGGATGCCTGCCAAGCTGGACTACTGGTGGCTGAGAGGCCCTAGTCACTTGCCAGCGTGACACGTGGACGGCACCGACAAGGGGAGGGGGCGTTGAATTTTGTACCCCGTCCCGTTGAATCTAATTCAAGTCTTGAGGTCTCGTCTATAAGGCAAGCAAATTGCGTCGCAGCTAAATCCGAGCACTTAACGGTTACAGCAATCCCCCTCGTCGGATTGATGGGTTCCAGCGGCGGAGTTTGTGATGTATAGCCAATCCAACGCGGAGAGGAAGAAGCGTGATAAGCAGGCCGTCGGATTAATGGGGCAAATCGATGGCGGTGGTCTACTTTGCCCGTAGCCTTGGACATCTTCGTCTTGCCTAGCGAGAGTCTGAAACGCTGGGTCGTTTCAACAGCGAGTGGGAGGAAGAGAAGCCGAAGGGTCAGACGTGACATGGGGAGAGGAAAAGAGGGAGGGAAGGCGGCATACGACAGGATCTTGTAGCTGTTGTCGTCAAGACAAAAAGCACTGCAGGTCACCCATCGTTGCGGCTGAGGAAACAGAGGGACGACCACGGTGGGAAAGGAAATGCTTGTGCGGATTTCAGGAGGTATAGGAGAAGGAAGAAGAGGACAAAGAGCAGGGAGATAATACACACGCGAGATAGGCGAGATAGAGTAGAGACAACAACGATTGGAGGAAGGTGGGAGAGAGGGGGAGGCTTTGTAGGTGGACGGCCGGAGGAAACCGCGATCAGGAGCACAGCGAAAGGGGCGGGGTTGGGGGTKGGKGGGGSGKGGGGGGGGGGGTGGTTGGACGGTCGGGGAACGCCCCGGAGGGGGGAGGGGTGGGGAGGCGTGGAATATTTCTATTAGAAGCAAGAGAGGTTGTGTTTTGCTGGAGCGAGGCGGTGCCGAGCGTGGCGGAGTCTTTCGTGCTGACTAGGCAGCAGCAGAGAGTAGGAGGAGGGTTAGCCCACTTGACAGGCCTGGGTGGCCTGGGTGGCCGGAGGGGGGCGGGGGATTAATTAGGAAGAAGAGGAGAGGAGGTCTTTTTAGCGGGCGGTTGATTCTGGTTATTGCGTTGACGGAAGCATCAATTAGGGGTTGTGAGTACTCCTGGATATTGATCAATTGATTCATTGCTTGTTTGATTAATTAGCTGGCTGATTGATTAAGTGGTTGATTGATTAAATCAATCGTTTTTGAGAAAAAGTTGACAAGGTTCAATGGATGAAGCGACGACCGACGATATTATTCAGCGGCTTTTGGACGTCCGCAACGGCCGCCCTGGAAAACAAGTACAGCTGTCGGAGGCAGAGATTCGCAGTTTATGCCTAGCTTCTAAAGAGATCTTTTTGCAACAACCGAACCTACTGGAACTCGAAGCGCCAATCAAGATTTGCGGTATGTATGACACCCTCACTTCCCTCACTTCCCTCCCTCTCTCCCTCTCCCTCCCTCCCTCTCTTCCGCCAGCGCGCTTGTACTTTACCCACCCACGTCCGGTCGAAATCCGTTTCTCTCCGGCCCTGCTCGCCGCTCTTTTTCCTTTCAATCTGTGTTAGCTTTGCCTGTCAGTTTCTATCCTTCTTTTTCTTTCTCTCTCTTTCTCCCGCTCTTTCTCTCTCTCTCTCTGTCTCTGTTTCCCTCCCTTGAAGCGCTGTACTTCTCTCCGTCTGCTTTTGTTTCTTTCTTTCTGCAAATCTCATCATCCAGTCTCTCTCTAGTGTAGTGCCCATCTTTCTCGCCAAGTTTAAATATTGTTCCCCCATTTCTTGTCTCTCCCTCTCTCCTTCCCTTCTTATTCTGTCCCCTTCGTCTCTGACCTCTATCTCTGCGTTTCTCTTGCTTCTCTTCTGCTGGTCTGACTCTGTCGTCCGATCTCCCTGTACTCGGAAGAAAGCAATGGCGGCACGAGTGTACCTGACTCGGATTGGATGGTGCGCATGTAGCGTATGGGATCAAGGGGTTCGCTAGTTGAAAATGCGGTTGGGAGCTTTTTCTACGCGTGTTATGCTGCTTGCTATGCACAACTCCCCACTCAAAAAAAGCATGACTGTGCCAGACTGTGACGTCGAAATTTGGGCCTCGCCCCAACGCTGACTAAATAAATGCACAAATGACAAAAATCAGGGCGGTGTATCTTTCCATGTCCTTGGGGGAGATTCATTGTCATTTTGCTCATTTGGTGAGTGGGGCGGCGAGGTTCTTTCACCTATTGATCGTGCCTCTCTCTGTGTGTGTGCGTGTGTGTGTGTGTGTGTGTGTGTGTGTGTGTGTGTGTGTGTGTGCTGTGTGTGTGCGTGTGTGTGTGTGTGTGTGTGTGTGTGTGTGTGTGCGCGCGACGTCTGTGTGATTAGTGAGCGTCGCGCGCATTAGCTGGCTGAAGACGTCCGCCTGCTCTCTGCCGCGTTTCCACCAGTCCAAAAGGGACTCGGAACCCTCAACCTTAGTGGTTGGTCATCTTTTTGTCGTTTCTGAAATCCACGGGTCCATCCGTCCGTGCACTCATGTCGATGTCGCGTTTACTACGCATTTGTTAGTGAATGAGCCGTCCGTAAATCCGAATGTACCGGTCTAATCTGTGTGGGTAAATGCATTCTAATTATCGAGTATGTATATGTACTCCGTTTAAATCGTTTAGCTCAGTATCCTAATTTGTTTGTTGTGTACTAGATTATGCAAGTATCTGATCCTCATAATGCATTTATAGCTAATTAGTAGGATGTGTATTTGGTGTGTGATAGGTCTATATAATGTTAATCTGTGCGTTCTAATCAAGTATTTGATCCTTGTGATGCATTTGTCCTAGTTTACCCCAGATTTGCCACCCACCACAGGTGTTTTTTTTTTGTTTTGGGTTTTAATACGTGCATGTATTATCTATCGGCGATCCAGCTAGGATGCATTTGCCGTCTATCTTGTCCACAATATATACTGTATGATGCAGCTATTGTTAGTATTTTCATCTCGAGTGGTGTTGTGGATCTGTAATGTATCTTCATCTTCTACTTATTTAGTACCAATAGGTTTAGTATCTGTCTAGGATAATGTTATTTATTTCCATTTCCATTTAGCTTAATGCCACTTCAGTGTCTCTCTTTCTGCCTATTCCATCTCCATATAGAGTACTGATTCGATTGAACTGTTTGTGATGTTTATGATGTTTATCTATTCCTATATTTATCTATATGAATATTACTACGATATTATTATCTTTGGACACATTTTTTGGTGATCAGTGTTGAGCTACATTAGCAATCCTAGTCAAGATTTAATATTTGTTTTCTCTTTTTTCTTTCGGTTGGTTTAGTATTTGATTCTGGATTGTGGTGCTCTTGTCATAGTTAGGTATCACCTGTCTCCTCGGACTCCTGTGAACGGACGTGTACGTAGAATGAATTTAAAATATCGTAAATTGATTTTTAAATAAAAATGAATTAATTTAAAAAAAAAAATGGTGAACGAAAGAGCAGTGATACGGTCGTGTCGTGCTACGGAAAGGAAGGGTGGCAATAGAGGCGGCTTGAGACGCGCAGAACTGTCAATACACAAAATAAAAAGGTTCAAGCGTGGCAAGAGAGGCGGCTCTATAGCGGTATTTGGGGCTGGAGACGCGCAAAATTGTTATCGTCGAGTTTTGTGCATCCGGGCCGGCGGCACCCTACCAGTCTTCACCCCCGAATAGAGCGTACGGTCATTAGCGATGTATGCGGACTGAAAGTTGCCCCAAATACCGCTATAATGACCGTGGGTTCTATTCGGGGAAAGAAGGGCACGTGTCTGCCGACTGGGTGAAAGTTCCACACGCAAAACTGTGAGTCCGCAGTTTGAGAGTTGGAATCCCCTCCCTAGTTCTGCCACTTTTGAGTTTGGGGCTGCAAAGGGAGTAACGTTATACACGTACCTTAACCAGAAACAGAGAGGGGGTAAAAGAGTCTAATCTGTGGAAAGCTCTGATTGAGAAGGTCGTCTGCAAGTTTGCGATTGTCTGCCTCAGCAGTGCAGCAGTCCTAGTGTTGAAAGTCGTTCAACACTAGAACTGCTCAGCCGTTCTGAAAGGATCCTTACGTCGAAGGGTAGTGGATAATGAACTCAAGTCTCGTGTAACTAGTACGCCCAGCCTCTTACTTCAAACGGCAAGTTGTTTCACTGTAGCAAGGTCATTTGGGAACATCTCCGTGTCCCCTTTTGCCTGCCTACTTCTTGCGCAGTAGGGGAGAGAACTGTGCCAGGCTTGGCGTGTGCGAGTGGGTGGGTGCCTGTTTGTGTGTGGGTGGGTGTGGAGAAAAAAAAGAGAGAGAGAGAGAGAGAGAGAGAGAGAGAGAGAGAGAGAGAGAGAGAGAGAGAGAGACCCCTCCTGCGCCCCCGTTGCCATTCTACGACTTGGATAATAACTGTATATGTTTCTCCGTGGAGGGGGCAGCTGCAGCAGTCTGTGTGTGTGTGTGTGTGTGTGTGTGTCTGAGAGAGAGAGAGAGAGAGAGAGAGAGAGAGAGAGAGAGAGAGAGAGAGAGAGAGAGAGCCCTCCCGCGCCCCCGTTGCCATTCTACAACTTGGATAGTAACTGTATATGTTTCTCCGTGGAGGGGGCAGCTGCAGCAGCGTGTGTGTGTGTGTGTGTGTGTGTGTGTGAGAGAGAGAGAGAGAGAGACCCCTCCTGCGGCCCTGTTGCCATTCTACAACTTGGATAATAACTGTATATGTTTCTCCGTGGAGGGGGCAGCTGCAGCAGTCTGTGTCTGTGTGTCTGTGTGTGTGTGAGAGATAGATAGATAGATAGATAGATAGATAGATAGATAGATAGATAGATATATATATATATATATATATAGAGAGAGAGAGAGAGAGAGAGAGAGAGAGAGAGCTCTTACACAGTAAACGTATGTATTCCTCCGTGGAGAGGATAGCTGTCTCTTGAGCTCAGCTTCTCCTTACCGGTTTTCGCTGAAGCCAACTTTCTTCGTGACATCACTTCTGACGTCCCGGATTCCTTTCGGCTCGTCGTCGCGGAGAGATCAAGAGTTGGTAGAGAGAGAGGGGTGGAGGACGCGGGGTGCGAAGGTTCTCTTGTTGTGTCTGTGTGTTCGAGTCGTCAGTTCACCTGGAAGGAGCTGAACGACCGGGGTTGTACTTTCTTAGGTTGCCGCGATTGGATATCTTATTTATGATGAGGGTGCAGGAAGCAGAACCGGGGTGCATGCCTTGCTGAAAGCATCACCATCGTCATAAATAAGGAGAGGCCGTCCCAAGGTCGTCGGTTCAAGACCGGTCGTCTCTAATTCCTCGGTTACTGTTTCTTGTTCTCTTTCCCTCTCTCCGGTATGTCACACCTCGTTTCTTTTTGTACCTTTCGTCTTTGTTTCTTTTTCGCTCGCGTCCTGTTCTCTTTCACTCTCCTTTGGGCCTGCTACTGTTGTCTCCCCTGTTCTCCTCTTCTGTTTTCCTCTCTTCTCTCCCCTCCCTCTGTCCATTGCCTTTGCGTGGATTTGGCGAAAGTACATCCTTTTTGTCGAGCGGCGCCTGGGAGCTGCCGCAGCTGGTTGGAGATAGTGGATGCTCAGGGGCACATATAGACACAGCCGGTGACCGCCCATTTAGCGCCACAGAGAGAGAGAGAGAGAGAGAGAGAGAGAGAGAGAGAGAGAGAGAGAGAGAGAGAGAGAGAGAGAGAGAGAGAGAGAGAGAGAATGTGTGTGGTGTGCGTGCGTGTATGTGTGTGTGTGTGTGAGAGAGAGAGAGAG